GCTCCTGCCCCGACGATCGGTTCGCTGTCAGTATACCACATACATTACTGTTTCTTCGGCCTTTTGTTGTTCAGTGTTTTAAAAACCAGTCAATGGAGGTGCACTTTTTTCATTGTAGCGAAATGACATACGTTCTAATAGTTTAAATAAATCGATTCGAATTCAGTAAGATGGATCAGTCTAAAATGATATATTCAATTATCATAAAAATATGTTTAATGACTTTGCAGGAGAACACGAACTCGGTCCGCTTGCTGAACGCGGCGCTGGTGAACGGGTACTCGATAGTGACGTACCAGCGGCCGCTGCGTGCCGCGGACAGGCTCGACCTGCCAGTACTCACCAACACCAGCCAGCCCGTCATCTGGGCCATCGGCCCGCTCAACGATGGCAACACGGTCTCCTATCACCACCATTACACCAAGGTACTTGAGAGGCATTATGTAATGCACGTAAAAGTCCTTGCACAAAATATTTTTGCTAATGTAAGTAGTGTCTGTGTCATGAGCGAAAAATATATTCATCAATAACATCGGAGACAGATACTAAAAAAATTAAATATTGATTTCATTTCCTGCTTTTGTTTTGTCTCATAAATTATTCCTTTGACATTAATGCGCGACATCATCTTGTGGCATTGTCAGGGGGACAAGTTTATCGAGTTCGGCAGACCGCCGGTGTGGAACTGCCCCATGCCCGACAGCGAGGAGGAGCACCGCCGCGACCACGAGGAGGCGCCTAACAATCCGCGACCCTCGCCGCCGTCACCGCACAAGAACGAACACCAGGTCCGTATACTGCACTGATATGGTCTTGTTTCTTCCCACTTTTGGCATGATTTTTTAAAAGACTCGCTGTTAGAAGAGTGTCGTAAGTAAAGTAAACTATGCCGATTTCTTCTCTCAGTCCGCAACATATGTTCGCAGGTGACGGCGATCAAGCCGCGTCCGGTGCCGACTCCGAAACCGGTGCCGAAGGTGGTTCCCTGGGAGATCCCCGGCATCCAGTGCTACGAGCCGCCCGACGGCGTCTTCTACGCGCAGATGGGCCCCACCGGCGGCAAGCAGGGGTACTCCGCCATCACAGGTCGGTCGCTGTCTGTCGTGCCAGCCGTGTATCGTGGTATCGGGGTGTGAACGTCGGTTTGTGATAATGAGAGGCTGCGTGTGTGTCAGGTCACGTGGGGTGGGGCATCGCGTGGTACATCAACGGGCTGCTGGTGCCCGAGGTGACGCTGGTGCGCGGCCGCAAGTACACGTTCGTGGTGGAGGGCGGCAGCGACCCCGAGCAGCCCGCGCGCTACCACCCCTTCTACATCACCAACGACCCCGTCGGAGGCTACTACCACAAGTCAGATGAGGAGAAGAAGGTGCGGTACTAACACTTTAAATCAGGACTGTTTCACTTTAAATATTGATTGTGACGTAGGTTCGGTCTCATATTAACTAATTCTATTAATATTACAAATAATGTGTAGGGGGTGGAGATCTACGCGGGCGTGCGGCGCACACGCTCGGGCGAGCTGATCCCGACGGGCGTGGGGCGGCTGTGCAACTGGACGCCAGACGCGGCGGGGCCCGAGGCTGACGACTTCCCCAGTTTCGGGGCTTACCAGCGCTCCCTAACGCTGGTGTGCGAGGAGGGCAGTCCCGGTGTCGTCACCTGGACCCCCGACAGGAACACTCCCGACACAGTCTACTACCAGGTACCACGGGACACCCTCCCACACCGCAGCACTTCAATATACTCTACTACTCTCGAGCTTGATACTTTATTTTTTTCCTGAGTACTGTATTATCACAATTCATTTTTCAGAAGTACCCGCTTTATACAACTTTCTTTTCATCACAAATCCTATTTCAACTCCTGTTTGACAGACGTCTATTATCAAATTTATATGCGATTTGTTAAAATGATTCTGGTAGTGGATCTCATGCCTATGTCCATGTCCATTTAAAGCGATTTAAAAATAACTTGCGCCGGTTTTATGTAAACTTTGCGAACAATTTTTAATTACGATAAAATTTGATTTAAGATGATCTGTGCTGTCTCGTCATACTCGTCGCGCCCATTGCATCCTGTATCTCGTATCGTGCTCTGTAAATAACTATTCTATTTTCTGTTTCAGCCTTCCAAGTCTTTGTATCGCATGAGGTTCTGTGTATCTCTCGTTGCTGGGTGACACACTTTCATATATTACTGTGGTGTGCGAGGCGCAGGTTGTAACCGAGTTATCTGTTTCAGTGCTTCACGCATCGCCACCTCGGCTGGAAGATCCGTGTGGTAGACGAGTGCGACTTGGCCGAGGGCGAGGAGAGCCGCCTCATAGAGAGCGCGGTGTTGCCGGACATGTTCAGCGAGGAGTCCGCACAGGTACCCGCGCGGCTCGCGCCCGACGATCACTTTCTAGATGAACGGAAGAAATTCGAAAAAATTATCAATATGAAAAAAAATTATAACAATTTCAGTAGCCCTAAAGACGTCTTCTCCCGGGAGGTCGTTCCTCAGAGGAATCACCTGTATTCGAGCGGAACGGAGTATGAATTGCCGATATCTAAGTTGCAAATAAAGGAAGTCATCGAGGCGGTGGAGAGTCTGGAGGAGATGACAATGAATGAGATGAAGCGGAACGGCACGCAGCCTCCGCCGCACCCGCAGCGCCCCGGACAGTACCAGGTGTACGAGGATATCCGGGAGGCGGCGCCCGAGCAGCCGGTGCTCGAGGGCGACGAGTACGTCGTACAGATGGGCCTCGTGCCCGAGAGCTTCCTGCTGCCTCCCGCCCGCAAGCCCGTCACGCTGCAGAGCGTCATGAGGCCCGGTGCTCCCAGCAAGCCGCCGCCGTCCGGCATGAGGCCACACTTTAGGAGACCGATACCTCCGGAGATCACTTTACACAGGCCCGGGCCACATTTGATCCAAAAGGGCAACAACGGAGGTTATCCCTTGGCGATGCCACATCCTCATCCCTCGAACGGAAATAAAAATCAAAAGCCATTCAATAAATTTTCTAATACTCGTTTACCTCCTATGAGCAGACCTCCTCCTAACATCCCTCCAATGAAGTCCATGCCGCCGCTTCGTTACACGAAGCCGATTCACCAAACGCCACAAATGTACCACCAGGGCGGCCCGAAACCGGCTAATCCTTCGGACCAAGCGATCATATTCGGAAAATTGGGACACAATATTCCCTCACCCACGCAAAGTCAAACTCTTAGTCTGGGCAAAACTGATATTATAGCAAATCAAGTAGTAAAGAGTCAAATAACTCTGCCGGGTACGAGCGATTCCGTCGCCCAACACAGCACGCCTCAGCTGTTTTCTGTGAAGCCCCAAGGACCGGGACAAATTATTTTTGGCACACCGGTAGAGAACCCTGTGCCCCTCGACCAGGAGATGATGCAGACCAAGGAGCAGTCGACCAACTCTCAATACATTCCCGACGTCCACCCAACACCGACCCAACATATTATCACGTACAAGGAACCCCAGCAACAGGATGAAATTAAGTCGTCAGATTTCATCGGCCAGTCCACGGAATCCTCCACCTTAGCGCCGGCTATAAATACAGGTTTCAAACCTGATTCGATCGTTATAGAGAGCGGCTTTAAACCCATTATTAGGGAACCATTGATGGCCGGCGAAGACAGAATCGCCGATTCAGAAGTATCCAATATACACAGAAGAGAAGACACGGACGTCTTAGAGGATTACGAGGACTCGCCGCAGTACATAAATAATCAGGCCCTTCCCCTCCAAATACCCAGCGACAAGCTGACTGAGACGTTTGAGCCTATGTTTATCCCGTCTCCTCCAGATCACCTGCTCTCCACAAACGTTACAACTAAGGAGATATTTCCGAAGAATCATGCAAAAGAGGACAGACCGCATCCCGTCTATGTAAAAACTGAAAGTGAATTAAATGCTTTATTCGGCAAGAAAAATATGAACAAGAATCTATCCTCGGACTTAGTCATGGAGTCCGACAGAGTTAGTCCACAATATTTGCCGCCGGATCCAAAATTGCCCAAAGAACATTCCCAAAAGCTGTCAGTGGAACAAACATTTACGACGTACGATGGAAAAACGATTTCTGCGGCCTCGCTGACAAGCTTACCTGACATAAATAAAGTTAATACCAAACTCTTTTCTTCTAAACTCCCCGCCAATACGGAGCTACTCCTAAAGATGCCCCAGTTCGGCCCATTTAAGGGAGAAATTCCACCGCCGGTGGACGAGCATATTAAAAAAGATTCCCTACACTCTTCGCGCCTGCCGGCGACGCATTTGAGGCTGATCAGTTCACTAGTGCCCAAGGAAAGTAATAGTCACATCAACGAATCCCCCGACACAGGAAATCATAAAGTTAATATCAGACACAAAAATGAAAACAGTAACAAATACTCGATCAATCAAAATACAGAATACGACAGCGAAGAAAATAGCGATGTCGTAAATGAGAAGAAGCATAGATCTAAACGTAATGTAAGAATGGCGCATTTACAAGCGGATCAAGAGACGGATACTTCGGTGAATCACTTTCATCCTGAAGGTGCTGTAGAGGATCACTCCCAAAGCTTCGTAGTGGCCGCTGCCTATTCTGGTAACCGCGGTGTTTGGACTGTCAACTTAATTCTATTAATACTGTGTCTGAAATTATCGTAAAAGTATTTTTGATAAGTATTTATTAACTTATTTATTGATTAAATTATTAAGCCTTGCCATCGAATGCATTTCAAAAGAAAACCACGTCTTAATATGTGTAAGTAAGCGGTAAACCTCGGGACATCGACCGAGCAAATTGCAGTGGTATACGTGAGCGTTCTCGCGGAAGACTGTCGCCGGACTCCACTACTCGAACATTACTTCTCTTGTTACCACATTTTATATGCATAATGCAATTCAATACTCCGTTAGTTGTAAGATTTTGTAAATATTTTTATAATTATATAATAAAATGTTAGAAAACTTTACCTTCTGTGTTTTTGTGATGTAGGTAGCTATAAAATTACTTTGTGTAAATTACCCTATTGAATTGATATTTTGTACAACAGTCGAATTATACATCTTGGCCGTGACACTTGTGTTTCATTGGAAATATTACAGTGGCGACGAGGATTAAAAAAAATACGCGCAAGGTGATATTTTGCGCGGCGTGCAGTCATTTAGTGTTGCGCGGTGTATTTACGCTTGTTAACGAGCGATAATGTCGGTGGGATTAATAGGCGCCTTCGATGTGCGGAGTGCCGCGTGGGCGTCCTACGTGGACCGGCTGGAGATGTACTTCGTTGCCAACGGAATCAAGGCGGAGGTGCAGCTGCCGACGTTGATTGCAGTAATGGGGGAAGAAGCATATGAACTCTTAGTGAACTTGGCTAGTCCTAGGAAGCCTTCCGATCTCAAGTTCAAGGAGGCAGTGGATTTAATGCAACAGCATCTTGAACCGACGCCGTCCGTGCTCGCGGAACGGTACAAGTTCAGGCAGCGCAGACAAGCCACGGAGGAAAATGTATCTGAATACGTGGCGGAACTCAAGAAACTGTCACGGTACTGTGCGTTTGGAAGCAACCTCAACGAGAATCTACGCGATCAATTTGTGTGTGGCCTCCGCAGTGATGTCATACGGCAGCGCCTATTCGCTGAGGACGACTCGTTGATCTTCACGAAGGCACTTAAAATAGCAAGCACGTTGGAAGCAGCAGAGCGGGATGCGGCGGCTGTGGAGAAGCCTCTGGACGGTGGCAGTCAAGCGACGCAGGCTGTGCATGCGTTAAGTCATAGCGGGGTGCGTACTGTCCCTCCCGGGGAAACAAGAGGCAAGGCAAGAGGCAAAGGGACGCGGGGCGGCGCGCCTGGTTTAAGTGACGGAGCGACGAGTAGACGCAGCGGTTCATTCGGTGCGGTAAGCTGGCGCAGCGTAGCGGCCGCCCGAGAGAGAGGCATAAGCCGGTATGCAGCTTGTACAGGCTGCGGATCGACGGATCATCGGTATGCAGTATGTCGGTTCCGTAATTATATGTGCAGCTGGTGCAGGCGGAAGGGACATTTGCGGCGCGTGTGTCCTGAACGCGGCAGCGGTGGGTCCGGCGGGCCGCGAGCCGCCGACCGCGCCGAGCTGAACTACGCGGGAGCTGAAGCAGAAGACTCTGGCGAGGAGGGCCTGGAAGAGAACTTCCACCACCTCTGCCTCAACGATTACAAACCGGTGAGTCTCCCCGTCGTAGTTGACGCGGTTACCATTAATATGGAAGTTGATACTGGCTCGGCCGTATCGTGCATAAGCGCTGATACATACAACGAGTACTTCAAGCATCATCGTATACAAGATAGTGCATTAATTTTAAATTTTTATGACGGCTCAAAAATAAAGCCGCTAGGTTTAATAAAACCAATGGTCCGATATGGTGACCACAAAAAAAGGTTAGAATTGTTTATTATTAGGGGTGGTAATACATCGCTACTGGGGCGACAATGGCTCACTGAGTTAAATATAAAAGTCCCAAGGTTGAGTAATTGTCATAAGATAGACATGAACAATGATAAAGTAAAATGGTCTACGGAGTTAAATAAATTGTGTTCTAGGTATAAGGAACTATTCAGTGGCGGACTCGGTCGCTTTACGGGCGGCCAGGCTACGCTGCGTGTGCGGGAAGGGGCGACGCCGGTGTTCCACCGCGCGCGGCCTTTGCCGTACGCACTGCGTGAGCGCGTCGACGCCGAGCTGGACCGCATGCTGCGCGACGGCGTCATCGAGTCCGTCGACTGCTCCGACTGGGCCTCGCCGCTAGTACCGGTAAATAAAGCGGACGGTTCCTTGAGGGTTTGTGCTGACTATAAGGCAACGTTAAATCCGGTTTTACAGATTGATCGCTATCCCTTGCCGCGAATCGAGGATTTAATGGTTAGGTTAAGCGGTGCTTGTTTCTTTTCAAAGATTGATTTGTCGCAGGCCTACAATCAAATTGAATTAGACGATACAAAGAAATACACCGTTATCAATACGCACAGGGGGCTATATCGATATAACAGGCTCGTTTACGGTTTGGCGTCAAGTCCGGGTATATTTCAGCGGATTATGTGCAATCTTTTACGGGGAATTGCTAATGTGGAGATATTTTTAGATGACGTCATCATAGGCGGTAAAACAATTAAAGAGCATTTGGAGGCATTACAGGAAGTCTTTAGTAGACTACATAATTCGGGTCTCAAGTTAAAATCTAGCAAGTGTGTGTTCCTAGTAAACGAAATTCAATACTTAGGTTACGTAATCAGTAGGGAGGGGATTAAAACGGATCCATCGAAAATCGAAGCTATTGTAAAATTGCCAAGGCCGAGTAATGTTTCGGAACTTAGGTCATTTTTAGGAATTTTAAATTTTTACGGAAAATTCATAAAGAACATGAGTGGCAGGTTGGTGCCGTTATATGAGTTATTAAAAAAAGATAAAGAGTGGTATTGGTCGGCGGAATGTGAAAATGTGTTTATTAAAATTAAAAAAATACTAAGTAGTGTGGACACCCTAGCTCATTATGATTCTAGGAAACCATTGGTAGTGACGTGCGATGCGAGTGGGCGTGGCATCGGCGGCGTGCTAACGCAGATCGACGCCGGCAGCGGTGGTGAGCGCCCGATTGCGTATGCGTCGCGCACGTTGACCGATGCCGAAAAAAACTATTCACAGATACATCGCGAGGCATTGGCAATAATATTTTGTGTAAATAAATTTCACCAATATTTATATGGCCGACATTTTACGTTGCGGACAGACCACAAGCCTCTTGTATCAATTTTCGGACCGAACACAGGCATTCCCGCAATGGTAGCTAGTCGTATGCAGCGGTGGGCTATTATTCTATCGGCTTACTCGTTTGACATTGAGTATGTGCGAACAGATGAGAATAGCGCGGACGGTCTGTCGCGGTTACCAATCGACGGTAATAAACAAAGCGAGCCGACGCCACCCGAGCAAACTTACTTGCATTGTATTCAAGATTCTTTATGTTTAGACTACAATGAAATAAAAAACCAGACGGGACGGGATCCAATACTGGCTAGGGTATTGCTATACATACGAGACGGTTGGCCTGCAACATGCGAATTGGCAAATTTGAAACCGTACTGGAATAGGCGGAATGAGTTGTACGAGGAATTAGGGTGTGTTATGTGGGGGCACCGGTTAGTGGTGCCCGAACAATGTAAAAATAAAATTATAAAAATTATTCATGAACCCCACATGGGCATAGTAAAGTCAAAAGCGCTCGCCCGCAGCTATGTGTGGTGGGCGGGTATCGACGAAGCCGTGGAGCGCGCGTGCCGGGAGTGCGAGACGTGCGCGGCGCAGGCGGACGCGCCGCCACGGCAGACGCCGCGCATGTGGACCTGGCCCTCGCGCCCTTGGACCCGCCTCCATTTAGATTTTTTGGGGCCAATTGGGGGGAAAACATTTTTGGTGGTAGTGGATGCGATGTCGAAGTGGATCGAAGTTTTCCACATGACGGGGGTTTCGGCGAGCTATTTAATTGATCGTTTGAATGAATTATTCAGCCGGTTCGGTATACCGAGACAGATCGTCACGGATAACGGTACGCAGTTTACTTCAAAGGAGTTCGAATATTTTAACCGGTATTACGGCATACAGCACATTTTTACTCCACCGTATCACCCATCGTCGAACGGGTTAGCCGAAAACGCGGTTAAAACGCTTAAGAGGATAATTAAAAAAGCTCTGCAAGAGAAGCGGGATATAAACAGGGCTCTTTGGTCGTTTTTACTTTATTACCGAAACGTGGAACACTGTACGACTGGCGAGAGCCCGGCGATGCTCTTACTCGGCAGACCGATACGTACGCGCCTGGATGCAATAAAACCGGATCGAGAGGAACAAGTGCGTAGCGCACAACAACGGCAGCAGGAGGCGGCCGGCGGGGCCAACCGGACTTTTAGCAAATCCGATACGGTTTGGTACAGACAGTATCTGAAAGGGGAGAAATGGATTCCGGGGCAGGTAGTAGACGTTCTGGGGAGAAGTAACTTTAGAGTAAGAGGCTCCGACGGGGGGGTGGTGCACAGGCACATCGATCAGTTGCGTAGGAGACCGAGCGAGGGCAGGCAATCGTTTGCGTCTGCCCCGCCTGGGTTAGGCGAACATCCAGTCAGTGCGAACGCTCAAGGATCAGACCCCGGGGGCGCGGGGTTGGAGGAGGTCGATTCGGAGGGGCCGGCGGGAGCGGAGGCGTCGCGCGTGGTTGAGCCGCCGGCGTCGCAGCCGCAGCCCGCTCCGGCTTCACCGGGCGGGACGGGTCATGTGTCCCCGGCTGCCGCACTTAGAGCTCGCCCTATTAGGCAGTGCCGATTAATTAAGCCTAAGTATTAATTATTAAGATTGTGATGTTTTACTTTATTTACGTTAAGAGTTTTGTTGTTAACTTGTGTAATTCTCAGTTAGTGTTTCCTTAGTGTTTAAGTAGTTTATCATTATTGTTGTAAGATAGTTTTAAGATAGTTCTTAATTTAGTGTAGAGGAATGTGATGTAGGTAGCTATAAAATTACTTTGTGTAAATTACCCTATTGAATTGATATTTTGTACAACAGTCGAATTATACATCTTGGCCGTGACACTTGTGTTTCATTGGAAATATTACAGTTTTTGTATGGCATGTATGAAACTGAGTGAGCATACTCGTATGTTGTGCCAGTTTGTAATGTGCAGCAGCGAGAGGGCGCGCGTGTCCGCTACTTGCGCAAGGCGTGCAGGCTGGATATCTTGCCGGTGAGGCGCGCGAAGTGTGCAAGCGCCGCCTCGCGCGGATACCTCGCGTCTACCACACGTAGCACCGACTCGCGTCTCTTGCCGCTGCACAACACAACATTCT